ATTCTTTGTGAAATTTTCTTTGTCCAGAATATCTGCCATTCCCTCACACACTTGCTTGAAAAACCCAACTCAGGTAACTCTTTCTCTGGGATGCCTTCTTCAATTCTTTTACTACTTCCATAGCCTCTAAAGACATACTCACTATGCTCTCTAATTACCTGTTTAAAGACAGTACTAGATAGTTATTATATAGGTATATTTTATTTCAGAGGCCAACATATGTTTTCTTACCCTTCATGTAAAGATAAACCTCAGCTGCAGAGATGGTTGACAACCATACGTAACCTAAGTGGCGTGTCTGAATAATCTGTCCACTTTTGTTGTCAAGTGCTATTGAGTCATTATGAACCCATAGCAACCCTGCATAGGGTTTCCGAGGAGTGGCAGGTGAGTTTGAACTGCCAGCTCTGCTGTTCAAACTGACCTTGCGGCCGAGTGCTCATCGTATATCTTTTAAACATATTTTCCAAGGGTACTTGGAAACAGGTTTGGTAATATTGAGTGGGGGACAGACCCCAAATCTTACATTTTTTTTTGCTTCTGTGGTAAAAATACAAGAAAGTCCTACAATTTCAACATTTTTCCATGTATATTTCAATGACATTAATGTTATGTATCACTACATTAGTTTTTGTCATTGTTTGGGAGGACTTTTAGACAGTTCTTGTTCCAGCTATGAATTACATGAATAAAGTTCTGCTAGCCAGTTGTAAATGATTTACATCCATGATTGATAGATATCTGGCAATTGTAACATGGTTTTTTCATGATGGAAACAGTGTGAATTCTAACCAATACATCCAGTGAATTTTAACTTTGTTTTTATAATAAGGTCATAAGTCAGGTGCTACAAACTGAAAACTAGAATGGTGGTGTTTTAAATTAAGAACCTGGGAGTTCATAAAACCATTGTATATTAGCATGAAAATTGAAATCTTAAGTGAATGAGGTTTTAAAAATACTTACAATCTTAGAAAATGATGTATAATAAAGATCTAAGCTAAGAAAATATAGTTCTGCATGAATAGTTTAACTAAAATTATTGGGAAACATTCATTAAGCCCATTTGGTATGTCTTACGTATTCAGTTGGTGCTGGAATATTTGTGACTTCCTGTAAAAATTCTGAATGTTGACAGTTCTTGGCAAATGCAGTTTTCATCCGTGTTTACGTCAGTAGTGGATGTTACTGCAGGAAAATGCAGGGTGAAAATGACCCTTGTGTATAACATGTAAATCTTTTCTTCTGAAATTTAAAATACAACATAGTTCAATCTCTGATTAAAATGTAATGATAGCTCAAGGATTGACTTAATTTACGCATTCTCTTGAATTTAGGTATGTATTATATAAATGTATTTACAGTCGAGCAAAAAGGGTATCAGCCTTTAAAACAACTTAATCTCATAAATGAAATTTGCCGTGATTCAGCTGGCAATATCAAGTGCAAATACAGTGTTGATATATAGTATTTTATTCATTTTTTTTTTGTTTTTTAAACAGGTAACTAAAACTCCTTAGTTATTACTTAAAAAAATCTTAAGGAGTTATCACTTGAGATTCATCTGTGGTCATTTATTCTGTCAAAAAGTAGGCAAATTGTTATTTTAAAGATGAATTCTCTCTCTTATTAAATTCTATTACTTATGAAGCAGCTCTGGTGATGTCAGGTAAGCACTGGACTGATAGCCACAAAGTTGGTGGTTCAAACCCACCAGTCACTCTGCAGGATAAAGATGCAGCTGTCTGCTCTGGTAAAGATTAACAGCCTCAGAAACCCTCTATAGGATTGCTGAGTTGACGTTGACTTGATGACAGGATTTTAGATAGGTTGTTTACAAAATAAGGAAACCGAAGTCAGTCCAGGTCTTCAACTTGGCAATACGATTTACCATAAAATAAAAACATTATTTGGTAAGTTTTCTTGCTGCTAATGTTATTATTTAATGGGTTAAATGTGATAAATATCTGTTAATAGCGCAGTTGCTAATACAGCAGCTTGAAGATGGGAAATGTAGTTTACATGTGAAATAGCTTAGATTCAACCTGGAGTGGTGAATGTAGTCACAGTGCTGCGGTTTTCATGGCTGCGATGTAAAACGTCAGGGACATCCGGGGCAAGATGTCAGACCAGGCAGACATGCTGAGCAAACCCACTGCAAGAAAGACACAGGAGACCAAGTAAAACAGACACACATGGCAATCTGGGGACCCTGAGCTTCAAAGACATGGAATGAGGAAGCTGAACATGAGCTGTGAGAAGAAAAAGGTATAAACTAAACTGACCTAGAGCTCTGGGGCTATCTTGAGCTTTTGTAAATGGCTGCAGGATAAGCACTGGACCGAAAAGTTGATGGGAACTGCAAGGTTGGTGGTTTAAACCCACCAGACCAGCCGCTCCATGGAAATCCTATACAGGGTCACTATGAGTCAGAACCAACTCAACATCAATAGAGCAGCCAGCAGGCACAGGACATGGCTGGAGGTGTGGTTCTCATTTGGTCCCATGCCCTCCTGGTAGCCAGAGGAATTGTCAGTTCCCACCCTGGTCAGTGGGTGGATTAATGCACCAAACTGCAAAGCAGTTTGAACTACAAAGTTAGCAGTTCAAGCTCACCAGCTGCTCCTTGGAAACCCTATATAGGGTCGCTATGGTTTGGAACCAACTCAACGGCACTTCACAACAACAACCCTGGCTAATACAGCAGTCAGTGGCACCCTGTCTTGTCCAAAATTCTTGGAAGACAGCAACCTGGCTAACAGGAAGAGATCCATATGTGTGCCCATTCCAAAGAGTGGTGACCCAATGGAATGCAGAAATCATTGGACAATATAATTAATATCATATGCAAGTAAAATTTTTCTAAAGATAATTCAAAAACGGCTGCAACAGTACATGAACAGGGAATTCCAAGAGGTTCAAGCTGGTTTCAGACAAGGACCTGGAGTGAGGAATATAATTACTGACGTCAGATGGATCTTGGCTGAAAACGATACCAGAAAGATGTTTACCTGTGATTTATTGACTACGAAAATGCTTTCGATCGTGTGGATCATAACAAACTATGAACAACATTCCAGAGAATGAATATCCTGGAACACTTAATTGTGCTCCTGAGGAACCTGTACATAAACCAAGAAGTTGATTGAACCGAAGAAGGAAAGGTGTGCACCAGGGTTGTATCTTTCACCATACTTACTCAATCTGTATGATGAGCAAATAATCTGAGAAGCTAGATTATATGAAGGAAAATGTGGCAATATGCAGATGATACAACCTTGCTTCCTGAAAGTGAAGAAGACTTAAAATATTGATGAAGATCAAAGACCACAGCCTTGGGTATGGAGTGCAGCTCAATGTAAAGAAAGCAAAACTCACCACTGGACTAATAAACAACATCCATAAAAATGGAGAAAAGATTGAAATTGTCAAAGACTTCACTTTGCTTGGATCCACAATCACACTCATGGAAGGTAGTCAAAAAAGTCAAATGACATAATTGCATTAGGCAAATCTGCTGCTCAAGACCTCTTTAAAGTGCTCAAGAGTAAACATATCGGTTTGAGGACTAAGGTGCACCTGACCCAGGCCATGATATTTCCAATAACCTCATATGCCTGTGAAAGTTAGACAGTGAATAAAGAAGACTGTAAAAGAATTGATGAATTAGAGTTTTAGTATTAGAAGAGAATTTTCAAGTGCCATGGGCCAGCAGAACTACAAATAAAATATGTATTGGAAGAAGTACAACCAGATGATCCTTAGAAACCAGGGTGGCCAGACTTCATCTCTCAGACTTCAGACATGTTACCAGGATGAACCAGTCCCTGTAGAAGGGCATCATGCTTGGCAAAACGGAAGGACAGAGAAAAGAGGAAGTCCCACAATGAGATGGATTGGCACCGTGGCAGCACTAATGGACTGAAGTGTGCCAGTGATTGTGAGTTTGGTGCAGGATTTGCCAGTGTTTCATTCTGTTGTGCATAAGGTCAACTATGAATTGGTACTGAGTCGTTGGCACCTAACAACAACAAAACAATCAGAAAAGACAAAACATCTGAAGAAAGCCTAAGATTTATGTGGTACATTATAAAGACGAATAACTCATGGAGATTGGAATTCCAGAACAGGACGAGAGAGAGAAAAAGAGAGAGAGAGAGAAAATTGTCAAGGCTTTTTGGAAGAAAACTTCTTTAACATCACACAAGACGAGAAGACAGCCATTCAGGAGATTGAATGAACTCTATAAACAGGTTAGATCCCAAAAGAAAATAACCAAGGTATATTATAATCAAACTTTTTTAAACCAAAGATAAGGAAAAAAATCCTCAGGGGCTCAGGGAAAATGAAAAATTACCTACCATGGAGAACTAATAAGACTCTGAATTCTTTGCATATAACATGTAGGCAAGAAGACAATGGGATGACATGCATAAAAATGAAAAAGAAAAGTACCAAGAATAATACCCAGCAAAGCTGTTCATCAAAGAAGGTGGCAAATTAGTACATTTTCAGATAAACAGAAATTAAAAGAATTAGTAAAAGCCAGACCAATCTTATAAAAAATAATGAGAGTTCTTTGGACAGACAAAAGCAGACAACAATCTGAGAGTAACATACATGACAATATCACCCAGAATTCAATCCAGATATACAAGTATTCACAATAAACCTATTGTTAAGTGCTGGAGATTGAGTGACCCTGTATAGGGTTTCCGAGGTTTTAAATCTTGGAAGCAGAAAGCCTCCATTTTTATCCCGCGGAGCGGCTGATGGCCTCAAACTGCAGACTTTGTGGTGCACAATCCGGTGCGCATCATATAGAACCACTCAACCAAAACAAATTTACCAGACTGAAAATACGGAACCAGACATATCAGTTGCAACAAAAATAAACGAAGTAAAAAGAAGGAATAATG